AAAAACTATAATAAATCAAGTAATACGATTAGCTGCTTATTTTAAAAATATGAGAAATAAATACTTTATTGCGCAATTAAATAATCAACAGAAAAAATATATAATAAATATCACAGATCATAATGAAATTGGATTAAAATGAAATGAAGAGTTTCTATTTGACCCTCTAAACCTATTTATACTTGTTTATTCTAAAACCTGCTTCTAAACCCTAATCCTAACCCTAAAAAATGCTAAAAAAATACCCCCAAAAATTTGTATTTTTCAGTGGCTTGTCTATTTTACACTATCACTTATTTCATTTTAATCTGATTTCAGTTTAATCTGCTACAATAAATATTATAGAATAGCTATTCCAGGTGAGATCAGATAGAATAGCTACTATATGGTAACGATTTGGCTTTTAAAAACTAAACAAGTATTGCAGATAAATAAAATACATTAAAATATTCAGATCAATTTAATATTAGGGGCATATATTTTATATCAATTGATTAATAATCAATTTTTATTAATAACGTCCCCTATATTAAATTTGATCCAAATACTCAACAATTTCAAAAACACGCTTTTTTTTTTTTTTTTTTTAGATACTTGCACTTAACTATCAGCCACCATATTCCCAAAACTAATGAAAAACTGAAACTGAAGAAACTTTAACAATTCATTGTGAAATTTTTGATATTATTAATGCAAATTATTTTTGGTCAAATTTGACAATAATTGCAAAAATCTTATACCCTTATTGCAAAATATTAAATATTTTGCAAAGCAACAATGCGAGATTAATTTATATTATATATAGTCTCGCATATTTAATTCAATTTTAAAATAATCATATTGATCTACAACTTGCTAAAAAAATTTTGCAAAAGTTAGACAAAAGGTGAAAGAATTAGGAGCAGCCTCTTTTAATCTTGGTATACTTGTTATATCCTAAGTATCAAATAACATATTTTAAAGACAAATCAGTTATTAATTATTCAAAATTAGAAAATACTTGTCTTATTATTATAAAGCCTGGTTTGATGATGATTCCACCTATATTTTATATAAATTCAATGATTTCTCCTCAGGAATCTATCTATATGATGATAAGACTTATAAACAATTTAGTGATATTTTTAAGTATTAAAGTTTTGTTAAAGATTTGATGAAGGAATTAAAACTAGTTGCTTGTCAGTTATATAGAGTTTGTATTAATGTAGCTGCTATTAAACATCTTTGAAGTTGCATAGGCTTTCTATAAACAGACTGAAGAAATAGATTAATTGTAAATATTTATAATTTTTATTACCATATTATCTCAGGATAATGCTCAGAAATATAGTTTAAAATTTTGTTCTAAATTTAGAACAAAATTTTAATTACAACCCTGGACATTACTTCAAGAAGATATGGGTAATATTTTTTTTGAATATTTTGATAAATTTTTTTTTTTTTTTTTAGTCATCAAAAGCTCTTGATATATGTAAATTAAGGGCCACTATTTTATAGAAACATGCAAAAAAATCAGATTCTGTTAAACTGTCTCCACCCACTCTTCTAAATAATAATCAAGTAAATATTAATTTTAAAGAAAATGAAGAATTTGATAGTGGTGAGCCTGAGGAATCTGGCGAAATTAAACCAAGACCTGAAGAATATGAGAATCTTATCACAAATAAAGACCTTGATGAAATACCTGATTCTGATTTTTTACAAGAAAAATTTGGTGAATTCTTAGATATATGGGTAGAGATATCTGCAAATAAGATTGAAGAATCTATTGATGCTAATGAAAAAAAAAAAGAAAATGAAATACTTTCTTCTGCTATTCAAGATATCACCCATCTAGCAATAGATTACTCTGCTAAATGGGATCTAAGATCCCTTTTCAACAAACTACAATTACCTTAATTGCAGAGTCCCATATATTCGCTAATTACTATAGAGCACTGTATTTTATACCCACCTATAATAGTATCTACTGAATTAAAGCTTCCCGATTATTATTTAATATCCATATAATTTCATCTAAAAATCATTCAAAATTTGTTCTCTTTAGATTTTATCCCTTCTCTTATGTGATATCTTCTAGATACAAATCAAGTTAGATATAGTTTTTGATTTGTACTCTATGTATTAAATGTAGCACTCTATAGTATGATTATAAGATTATATTTGAATTCTAGTCAAATATAGAATAAAAATAAATTCTAATTAGTGCAGTAAAAAATATATATATTATATATTATTTTACTATATATATAAATAATTTAAAGTAAAATAGTTTAAATCATATTATATAGCAATACCAATACTTATAAAAATTATATTACATATATTATGAAAATAATTAGTTATATCCAAAGCTTACTCTATCTTTGGACATGAACACAGACGATCTGTCTAGTCCTGTTCAGTTCATATTACAGCATTGCAGACAATATCCAAATATCTGTATATCTTTGGAATATGGACGTGGACGTTCAGTCTGGTCTAGGTCCATGTCCAGTTCATGTCTACATAACAACACTATCCTAAACTATATAAAAAAATTTTAAAATCTATATATTTATATATAAATTTTTACGAACCCTTAATTATCTTGTAACCTAGTAATCCAAATTAGATAAATTTGATACTATTAGATTTGTCTCAATAAAAGGAATCTAATAGTATCAAAATTATTTGATTTGGATTACTAGATCAAAAGAAATAGACAACAAACTGTTAATTCTATTGTAATTTCATATAAAATAATATAGCCAATAGTTTTTTACTAATATCTTTTGATTCAGTAATCCAAATTAAATGATTTTGGTACTATTAGATTTTTTTTATAAAGACAAATTCAATAGTACAAAATTTATCCAATTTGAACCACTAGTTCACAAGATATTAATATTTTTATAAAAAAATTGTATTATTTTTCTTTGACCCCCTCTAACTTAGCAAAAAACATAAAAAAAATATTATTTTTGTGAAACTCCCATCTCCTCTCTTGTATAATATTATTTATAGATACTCTATTATAAGAAAGCTTACCTAGAAGAAAATAATTTTGATAGTACCAAGTTGATCAGAAAGTTTAAATAGGAGATTCATAAGCAGATTTTAGATATGATAATTGGTAGATAACTATAAATAAAAATAGATATAGCAAAATTTTTAATTAAACAATGACTAAAATTATATATATAACCAATTGTACTTTCATTGATATAATAATATCAAGTATGGCTATAACTATACTAATATTTGCATCTAAGGATAAATAAAGCATGTCTAATCTCAAAGTAATTATTTTAATATTAAAAAAATTAAAAAAAAATTAAAAAAAATTTGACTTCTTCTTAGTCTATACTATCTTTTGTAATGAACTTTTCTGTAGTTTTTATGTTTATTATTATTTTTATTTCTCTTTTGTAATATAATTATAGAATAAAATTTTTTGTAACTTGTAGTAACTTGATCCTTTTTAATATTATTTTTAATATTTTTATATTGACTAAGTTAAAAGTTATTTATATTCTAGAAAAACCAGATTTCTTTTTTTGTTTTCTTGTATTTTTTAGCAAATAATTAATTAGATATATTGGTATTACTATTTCTTCTTCTGATAGTCCTGCAAAATTTTTTTACTTTAGTATTTTTTTTTTGTAATATTTAGTTTAGCTTGTTGTT